AGATATACACATTATTGAGTACTATCAGAGGAACACATTCATAGAAAAAAACTCCCATCCACGTGTATTTTGAAAAAGTTATGATTTTTTTTCGAAATTCCAAAAAAGGGGGCCTGTGGGGTTGATTCCTGCCCGACAAAATATTGTCAGATATACACATTAATGAGTACTATCAGAGGAACACATTCATAAAGAAAACTTCCATCCACGTGTATTTTGAAAAAGTTATGATTTTTTCCAGAAATTCTGAAAAAGGGGGCCTGTGGAGTTAATTCTTGCCCGACAAAATATTGTGAGATATACACATTAATAAGTACTATCAGAGGAACACATTCATAAAGAAAACTCCAATCCACGTGTATTTTGAAAAAGTTATGATATTTTTTTAGATATTCTGAAAAAGGAGGCCTGTGGGGTTAATTCTTGCCCGACAAAATATTGTGAGATATACACATTAATAAGTACTATCAGAGGAACACATTCATAAAGAAAACTCCCATCCACGTGTATTTTGAAAAAGTTATGATTTTTTTTAGAAATTCTGAAAAAGGGAGCCTGTGGGGTTAATTTATGCCCGACAAAGTATTGTGAGATATACACATTATTTAGTACTATCAGAGGAACACATTCATTGAAAAAAACTCCCACCCACGTGTATTTTGAAAGTTATGCTTTTTTCGAAATTCCAAAAAAGGGGGCCTGTGGGGATAATTCTTGCCCGACCAAATATTGTGAGATATACACATTATTAAGTATTATCAGAGGAACACATTCATAGCAAAAAACTATCATCCACGTGTATTTTGAAAAAGTTATGATTTTTTTTCGAAATTCTGGAAGAGGGGGCTGTGAAGTTAATTCTTGTCCGACAAATCATTGTGAGATATACAGATTATGATAGACCCTCAGAGGAATTCATTTATGTGAAATAGTTTCATCCATGGACATATTTTGGAGGTTCAAGTAATTTCATGGCCAGCCATGAATATAAATGAATAATGAACGACCATTGGTGGTATGGCGCGCGCCTTGAATATTAGGCGAAGTCGTGGCTGGAACTCGTGGCTGGTTTCACACTGATTTCTGGTAAAGCCATCTTGGTTAGGGCAAAAGTGATAAACTTGGTTCTGTTAACATTTAGTGAAAGCAGGCTACAGTCTAGCCAAGCTTTTATTTTAGAAATTTAGATTTCTGCCTTTTTGATAGCTGATCCCCATGAATTATTAACAGAAACAACCACAGTATCATCTGCAAAACAGAAGACACTATCCTCATCATCCAGTATAGATAAAATACTATTGACATAGACACTAAACAAGAAAGGACCAAGTACTGTACCCTGTGGCACAACATACTCCGTCGGAAGATCCTGACTCAGATAATTTCCAATTCTTACTTTTTGGTTTCTTCCACTCAAAAAGGATTTTATCAATTGGTTTGCAATTGCTCTAATAACCCATATCGTCAAGTCTCTCGAGCAGTATATGGTGCGCCACAGTGTCAAAGGCCTTAACCAAATCCAAAAAGAATCCTATCACTCTTTTTCCTTCATCTAGCTAGACTTTTCAGGATTACCTCTGTCACTCTGCACAACGTGTCCTCTGTACTGCTGTTAGATCTAAAGGCAAACTGGTTTTGCAAAAAAAGCTTTATTTGACTCAATAAATGATAACATTTTAAGTTTGATGCATTTATCTATTACTTTGCTGGTCAAGGCTATTGACCTGTAATTTGTAGTGAGTTCACTATCACCGTGTTTATATAACGGCACTATAATTGTGTTCTTAAGTATAGATGGGTAGACTATAGAAGAAAAATTGTTATTTATTATACAAGGGAAAAAAGTAGTACATTTTAGCTCCAGGTTGTGTTGTCTCCCGACGCGTAGCGGAGGGAGATAAAAAACCTTGAGCCAAAATCTAATATTTTTTCCGTGTATAATACACTATTTTTTTCTGTGCCAGACGAAAGGACGAATTAATATTGAGGAGATATTACATTATTTTGAAATCTCGAAATTATCGACGTGAAATTTTAAGTTTTTAACAGTAGGGACACCTGCGTTGTAGGCATCTTCATCATTCTTTTGAAGTAATCAAATATCTGATGTCACTACTGTCAGTATAACTCTGTGATTTGATTTCAAAAAATTGCGAATTTAGTGATTGTTTAGTAATATACGTAACCGCGAAGTCGAATGGAAGATAAAAGGACTTGCAGTTCTTTCTCGGAGACGGTATTATTGACTCATTTTTCGGAACTATAGCACAACAAAAGCCATCAACAGTGAATCTATATAATAATAATAAGAAGAATCGTTTATTGTCTGCGAATGAACAAAATAACAAATTCCATGTTATATATCACCTCAAACCTCGGCGGAATAAATTACGAATAAAAAATACTGGGTGTTCCATTTGAAAGAACTCGTTTCCGAGTCGTCCCGCTTTCATAAAACACCCAGTAATGTTGCAAATATTTTTGAAATGAGCAACTTCAGTAACTGAAAAAGTTTTTCCCACAAAGTTTTTCTTTATTGGTTATGGCTTTCGAGATATCCAAGAATTTCGCACTAAATGGACACACTGTAATATATTAAGAGTCCCTTTGTGATCCATGGCTTTAATCCCCGATTCTTGTTGCTTACTTTGCAATCATAGGTACATAAGGCAATTTGGTCTTGCATTAACTTGATAAAATTTGTACTACTTGTCTCCACATTATTAGAAACCAGAACACTCCCAATTTGCCTCTGACACAAGTGTTTTCAATTTTGCGTAGTCGTAGTGATTTTTTAGTTTTATGTTCAACAATATGGGGTAGTGATCTGTAAAGTCCCTAGTCAAAACTACCGAGCTTAATCTATCATAATATTCACTTTTACATTTGATAAACATGTGATCTATGCAAGTCGAAGAATTACTCTGTACTCTTGTTGCTTCATTAATTAGGCTAAAGAAGCCATAGTTATTTGACATAGTCAAATAATCACTAATCAAGCCACAGTTTCTGTTCAGAATATTGAGGTTAATGTCACCGGTAAATATGTACATTTTTTACTGTCTTTTGTACTTTTGCCAAAATGGTGCTTAAATTACTTACAAAATGATCTTGATTTATAGAAGGTAATCGATATAGCCCTATAATATCTAAACTTTCATTGCACTTTTGTAAAGAGACTTCATGAACATAAGATGAATTTTATGAATAAGAAAACAAATTCAACATACGCCAACCATATATTAGAAGAAAACCATAGTTTTGATGATAATTTCGAAATTCTCCACGTAGAAAATAAAGGACTGAAACTCAATCATTTTGAATCATTAGAAATCAACAAACTCAAAAATTTTGACATTTTACTCAATGATCAATTAGACCCCAATAGTTCACCACTGTTGAATTTGTTTTCTTAGTAGGTAAGTAATAATATGTATTTGATATCAACTCTTTCAAGTTAATCCGGTATACCGTAATTTAATGTAGATATTGTGCCTAATTTCCGAAAATGGAGGTTTATCGTACCTGTCCACAGGTAACTAATCCTTCAGGTTGGGAAAGTAAGATATATATAAGTTGAGCAAGCCAACGTTAGTTTAGTTCATTGTACCAGTATATCACCTGACGAAGCTACTGTGTTAGCGAAACATGTCGTGTGTTTGAGAATTTTGTGGGAATCTTATCGTTTGTGAAGTTTTTACATTTGTCATGGATTTTCATCAAGTAACGGCCGAGTCAATTCAAAATATATTAGAATGTTTTCTTCAATGGATATAATTGGACATTTTCATACCTGCACCATTCATTTTACCTAGTAGTATTTTTGAGAAATTTTCATAACATTAATAATAGAGATAGGTGCCTATCAAGATCAAGAAAATTTAGTTTGTGTCTGAATCATTATCCTTTCACATTAATGAAGGTGCATAGCTATTACCTTACCTATCATAAGTACAGATTTTGATTAATGAGATGTGTTATTGGGTAAATATGTCACTTGATTCATTTATTTTACTTCTACCTATCCATTCACATTAAACTGGAGTATGTTGATTCTTTCTTCCAACTCATGTTCCTCTTTATTTAAACTGTGTACTCCCTTTCTCAATGATTCAAGTTCTTCATTGTGGGAGATGACGTTACCCAATAATTCCACATTTTCATCTTCTTGATCATGACCAGCAAGTTGAAGATGAGATTCCATATCTTTTTGTACATCCTACAAATGGAATACTGCATTGAGGTTATAATTCAAGAGAAGATGATTAAAGCAGGGAACACTATCGAACAGAAAATTGAAGTCATGTAACAGTTTCAAAAACCTGGGTCGTCTGGGGTAATGATCACATGTCCTTTTGCTTTCTTTTCACTTTTCTCTTATATCTCTCAAATATGTGCTTTAGTGACTTGATTGCATTGATTGATAACCCATTTTAATAGAAGGCACCCATAATCTGGGTAGTTCGTTTCAAACAGTTTAGCTGGTTTTCCTAAAATATGAATATTCTGGCTAAGCTTCATTCCATTTTTGACATAATTGACGTGTCTGACACATATGTTCTCAAAGAATTGATCCATGCAGTTCTTCTTTGCTTGGCTAAATTGTTTTCTTTCTTGTGATTGTCGAGCACTGAGGGCATCCTTCAAAATCCGACACTATCTCTCAGTCAATTTAACCACCATTCACAATTTTTGACGTCAACCGCAGATGCCTAATTGAAGTGAAAATGCATAGAGTTCCATGGGTATCTAATAGAGAGAAAGCGACGTAAGCAACGTTGCCATTATACATACTTAGCGCGTATGGCAAACTAACCTTCACACATCATATTATCGTTATTCAATTTGTTGTTTATATGTTAGTGAGGTAAACACAACATACTTCGTAGAAACAGATGCGGTTAACAATTCAGAATAGCCAGGGCATACAAAAATGCTTGTGAAAACGCAAATTTCATTCAGAAAACAAGACACTACCAGAACAAATTTCATATTTTCAGAAACCATGGAAAATCCAAATCGGATGCCTTCTTGGCTGAATTGAGCAACTTAATGTCAGCTGGGTCATATGAAGTCAAACATCTGAGTGTTGGAGATTTCATCTGGATATGTAAGTTTCATCATCGAATTTTATCTTTTTATGTTCAATTATCAATAATTTTCATTAGCTGAAATAATAATCTCATCATCCAAATTTCGTGGCCCAAAGTATGTGTCAACAAGAACGTTAAATCTCTTATACATGAGTCGATGCCCATAGCTCAAGGGCATTATCCTTGAACAATTTCCAGTCGAATGTGCCTTATACATTTTTAATCTTTGGTAGAAGTCCATATGGCTCGAAGTGGAGTGAAATTTTTCAAAGGAAGGAGAAATCCTTGACTTTTGTCCAAAACTCTATAGTTGAGGAGTAATGAGAAATATATCTAACAGAGTATTATTATTATTATTAAAAAGTGATAATGGGCTGAGGTGTGAACCTATAAAAGCCCATTTATACATGACATAGTTGTATGGTACACATAAAGAAATATTATATATATATATATGTAAATAGCTACTAGACAAACAATTAGATTGAAAATAAAATTGAAAAAAACAATTAAAAATGTTGAATAGAAATTGAACATTTCGAAATAAAATAGACAGATATAATGCGATGCAAACTGAAAAAAAAAACAAAACAATTTACTCAGTAATACGATCTAATCGACTTTTGAATGATGATACTGAGGGTGCATTAACTATGTCTGTATCCAGGTTGTTCCATGCCGAGAAAACACGATTTACTATGAAGTTCTGCCGATTTGACGACCTGAAATGTTCCTTCTTAAGTTTGAAATTATGTCCTCTTAATCGTGTATCATCGTTTATCTGGAACATATCACTCAGTGAGGGTAGAAATCCATGAAGAATCCGATAAGTTAGGATCAAGTCTCCACGATGTCTTCGATCTTCGAATGTTGTCAGGCTTAACTGATTCAAACGTTCATGGTATGATGGTCTTCTGAGACCGAAGGACATTCGGGTTGCTCGTTGTTGCACAGATTCCAACATGTTACGATCTCTGATCAACTCCGGGCTCCACACTTGTCCTCCATATTCTAGGATTGGCCTAACATAAACTTTGTAGAGGTTAGTGAACGTTTCAGGTGACGTTTTCGGAAAAACTTTTTTCAAGAGGTACAATTTTGTATTCGCTCGTTTGCATATGTTTGAAATATGTTGTGACCACGTTAAATAGCTGGTTATGGTAACTCCAAAATCATTGTGGCATTCAACCTTAACTAATTGCTCATCATTGATGGTATAATTTTGTCTAGGATTATTTTTACCAAGGTGAAGTACAACACATTTATCAATATTCAGTGGTAGTAACCACTCACAACTCCAGTTGTATAAGGCAATCAAGTCATTTTGCAATATATGTTGTGATTTTGTGTTGTTGTAAAGTTTTGTGTCATCAGCGTAAAAAGAACAGGTTGACTTAAAAATATGTGATAAATCTGATGTGTAGCACAAAAACAACAGAGGACCAAGTACAGATCCTTGGGGAACTCCACTCAATACAGGATATTGGTCAGAGAAGCAATCATCTATCCGAACACAAAAATATCTGTTCTCTAGAAAATTCTGGATCCACGTCAGTAGAAACCCGCGTACACCAAAATGTTCTAATTTACACATAAGTCTTTTTCTAGGGACACGGTCAAATGCTTTAGAAAAGTCTAGATAAATAATATCCATAGGGGTATTATTGTCCAAATGTTTTGACCAGACATTCACGCACTCCAATAAGTTTGTTGTAACTGACCGATTTGGAACAAGTGTGTAATGACACAAAGAGAATGTTGAATACAGTCATGTAATACTTCATCAATTCAGAATTTTTTGATTACTTACACAAATTTAATCAAGGTTTTCTTCAAAATGTTTCCCCGCAGCTTCACAACATATTCTTGCTCGTCTAATTATTGAAAACGTTGCTCTCTGAAGAGGTCTGGGTCGTCTCTTGAATGAATGCAGCCACGATGCAGCTGAAGTAATAATATTTTGAATTCGCTCATCTCTGGTTTGTGGTTCATTTGAATACACTAGACTTTTCATTGGTCCACAATAATAGTTCAATAGTATGGTCAGGTGACCTCGGTGGAAGAGGACAAACTGGACCACCTCTTGCAATCTACTGGTGAGCAAAGTTGTTATTCAAATGCTCATAACTCCTCAACTATTGAGTTTGAGACCATAGTGTATAAGGCACTTTCGACTTGAAATTGTTCAAGGAATATACCGTTAAGCTACGACCATCGAGGCACGGGGACACCATGTATAATATCACTTTTGATAACTTGAAATAGATATTCATGATGTATTCAAGCCGCTTTCAATAACTCATCTCTTATCACATTATGAATTGACCAAACGAATATGTACATGTACAAGTGATCTATGTGTCTGCCATCTGAGAAAGTGCCTGCAAAGTTTTTGGGCAGTCCGAGTGAATTTTTGACATCTATTCAAACTAAAACCTACGATGAAACACCACTGAACAATCTCGAGATTCCCCGGCACCTGCAAACTGCTAACAAACAACTTTACTGCTACGTACTGGTTCAATGTGCAATGATAGTGGACTGAGGGCGCTTGACCTCGACCGCCTTTATTGTGATCATATACGTATTAATAATCAATACGGATAATCTCTATCTGTTTCCAAAGCGAAACATGAAGCCGATTTTTGAAGACAAATGACTATCCATAAGGAAAAGTTTTGAAACGATCAGACACATACTGCTTTGATTGAAAGGCTAGTAAACGTCATTGTCCACCGAAACGCATGTCTTTGATGACTACTATAATAGCGCATGGCGCATGCGTATCATGCCACCAAATCCTTATGGATATTCATTTGTTTCATATTTTTGGCTTCATCCTGGCATCCGTTATGATCCGTATTGTTTATTAATACGTATATGATTGTGATATGATACTGATCAACATTCAAGTCCACGAGCCGGCCGTGAATTTCGATCGCCATCTGATAACGAAATGTCATATTATATCCCAGAGTTATGTAATAACTCAAAGACCTAGAAGGCTAATGCAAGTGTGAGAAATCGCTGAAATCTCATGCAACCAGTGTGCTTACGGCAATGGTGATCATACGCACATTGTCGGCAACATTGTCAGATATTTTTATACGCAAATCTCATATTCATGCATTAGGATGGAGTTCATATTTCTTATCACTTCTTGTAACTGATGCTCAACAGATAAATCATAATATGTACAATTTTCGCGACAAAATCCATAGACTCACTGATATTAATAGAATGGCTAAGAGATTCATGAATTATTATGAACTTCTAATTTCTTACAAGTTCATCTGGCAACTGTGTAAGAATGTACCTATGTCATTTTGTCTGGCGTAGACTTAGGACAGAGCCGGATAAGTTTCAGTTATTCAATGTTTTATTTTACTCCAGTTTGGGTGGTTTATTGTAATCATAGTGACATTTATACGTTTAGTTCATCTGTACAGTACTTATTGGATTCGACATTCATTGACTAATTTGTGTATATTGTTTTCAAAATGCTACCAAGATGCTAGAAGTAATCTTGTTGAGGTTGGGCCATTGATGATATCTACTATAAATCCACGGTAACCTCAGGAGCTGTTTTGAAGGATAATTCCAAATTTGCAAACATTATTCTACTCATGACAAAATTGGAATTTTTGTGAGTTGAAACTTCTGTGAGTTGAAATGGTTATTTCTTCATATTGGCTCAGAAAGGGCTTCCCTGGGGCTGCAGCTATAAGCATGTTGTGGTCATATAAAATCTCCTGGTTTTGGTATGGTATGTATGATGCCTAACCCATCATGCGTCTACCTCCTTTGCAAAGAGGGTTTATAAACGCCGAGTTGATACTCTCCCCTCGTAAGGGTACCTGCCGTGTTTCCATAGAGACATAAAGGTGAATATCTGTCCATCTGTTTGCTTGAGAATGTATCTGGAAAGGAAATCAATATATCGCCTTCCGTACGAATATAAGGATCTGAATTCTAAGAAGTATACTCTGGTCAGATCTCTTTGCGGATCTTCTGTTGGGTTCGTCTTGACTGGATGGTTTTCTCCGATTTTTTGACAAGTATCGAACACTTTGCTTTTCGGATCTGCAACTAAACGTAACATATCAGAATGTTCATGAAAATTGAAACTGATTTTCATGAGCGGTGGAACATGGATGCTACATATTCGCTTTCTATCCGAATAGTGATAGATTCTCCCAGTAGGCATCTTATGAGGACCATGAATGCCAAACTATTGCTGCTCCGATCTAAAAGTAAGCATCAATTTGAAATTTGAATCGTGAGACGTACATAGAATATAAATCTATAAAGTCTGAATATTTTTCTCAACATTCGTAACTGAAATGCGATATATTTTTATGATTATTCATCAATTCATCAACTCTCTCAATGCAGACGAGGTAGGCAGATAAACAACAATTTTCTCTGCAATGAAAAGCACTGTATATACCTAACCCACCATGCGCCGACCTCCTTTGCAGAGATGTTTTATAAACGCCGAGTTGATACTCTCCCCTCGTAAGGTGAATATCTGTCTATCTGTTTCCTTGAGAATCCGGAAAGGAATTCAATATATCGGCTTCCGTACGAACATAAGGATCAGATTTCTTGAAATTATACTCTGGTCAGTTCTCTTTACGGATTTTTTGTTCGCTCCGTCTTGACTGGATTGTTTTCTCCAATTTATTGACAAGTATCAAACACTTTGCTTTTCGGATCTGCAACTAAATATCACATATCAAAAAGTCCATGAGAATTAAAACTGAATTGCTTCATATTCGCTCTCCTTCTGAATATTGGTCTTCCCAGTAGACAGCTGCTACATTTTGAATTTCGTGGGTTATAATGAGGACCATGAATGCCAAACTGTGTGCTGCTCGGATCAAAAACTTAGCATCAATTTGAAATTTGAATCGTGAGACGTACATAGAGTATAAATCTATAGTCTGAATATTGTTTTCAACATTCGTAACTGAAATGCGATATATTTTTATGATTATTCATCAATTCATCAACT